TTATTATTATTATTATTATTATTATTATTATTATTATTATTATTATTTTGTGTATTTGATGTACTCGTGCCTACTTTGTAATAGGCCTCTGTGCTGTTCAGTTTGCACGCAAATAAACAAGGATTCAATTATTATTATTATTATTAGTATCATTATTATTATTATTAATGGTTTGTTGCGAGATGTGACGTTATCGCGGTGGTGACTATGAGGAGTATTCTCTTGTGGGATGGTACGCCGTGCAGCCGGCAACCTTCTACCAGACAAAACGGCGTAACACCCCATACGAGAGTGCTCTTTATGTATGGATTATTCAAAGAGGCTTTCAGTAGGTCAGCCTACACAGCGTCCATCAACAGGACGATTACTGAACTATAAAAGAGACGGGGTGAGGAGGACAAGACGGACGAAACTTGCTGCGGTTCGAGATTTGACGTCTGGGCCTCCCGAAAATAAAGAAGTACTACCCACTGACCGCGATGTTCGGTAAATTATTAATATCGTTGTAAGTGTTGCTGAAGATGGGATAGACATACAGCACGTATTGGCTCAGGCGTAGATGTGTGAAAGTGTGGACTGAATTTAACTAGCTCTGCGAACGCCTAATGCTGGGGTTTTGTGAACATGGTGATGAACCTTCTAATTTAGTAATAAGGGAAGTTTTTCGCCAGCTGAATAAGTAAGCTGTAATATGTTGCTACTACTATGGAACCTAGCGGTTATCGTCTGGTTCGGATAACTGGGGAGTCCCCATGATGAAGCGGGCCACATAACTAATAGCCTACTTTCCTTGATACGACACGGACCGCACAGAAAACGAAGAGTCCAACAATTCTTCTATTGTTACGTGTATTCGTTGACGATGGAACGTGTTTACGAAGCCGTTGCTTAGCAACGATAATGGGGATATACTGATAAGACACACAGACAGCAAGGTGATCTAATAAGGTAAGGGTTGTGGCTGTTCTTAACTAATTAAGCAATATGCCATGAAGGCGTATGGGGGAGTGGATATATAGATCCACATTTTCTTGACGTCAGCACTAGTTGGAGGTGAGTGGTCAGCTTCACACCCCGGCCGCGTTACCCCCAGGGAAAGAGCCCCCCTTACCAATTGGACATAAGGTTGGGTGGACTCCAGAGCTAGCTGGACAACGTGAAGAAGAGAAAATTCTTGACCCTACTGCGACTCGAACTCCGACCCCTCGGTCATCCAGTTCGTAGCCAATCGCTATACCGACTATGCTATCCCGGTAAAGGTAAAAAAAAAGATAACGCTATCCCTGGAACAGGCCGTGAAGGCCCATAGAGTTGTGAAACGTTGAGATTTCCACATTTTCTCTCGAAATCTGTTCACAGATGGAGGTAAGGTTCTCAGACTTACGCATCGGCCGACCTTTAGACCAAAGGAAGATTCCTGGTACCCATTTCTGTTAGAGGCTGAGTCAACCACAGGGCCATACTGCGGCTGGAAGGATTAGGTCAATTGAAAAAATCCACCTCATTGGAATTCGATCCCGCGACCTTCCGGCTTGTAGCATAG